TAGAGGCTGTGATTTTTTCAGTTATTTGGAGTTATTTCTCTGCAATTTATGTTTGGGAAGGCTGTGGCTGATACTGCATCATCTTGTCTGGGCCCAGCATAGCTGTGCCAATCTAGCCTGGGACACCACACCACAGAAGGGCCAGCAGTGGTGTCCCAAAAAGGGTTATCTTGACCCATGAGGTCTTGTCACGGTTTGCTGTGATAAATGCCTCCTGGATAGCAACTCTGGAGGTGAGACTCTGGTTTGAAGGATTAAACATAAAGAACAGAAGAATTTTGCCCCATTGGCAGTCCGGAGCACACAGGGCCCCGTGTGTGGACAGCAAGTCCACACCCCGTGTACACCCCGTCCTGCTTCTGCAGCCTTCTCAGAGACAGCTGTGCTAGGGGGATGCAGTTGCTGCCCATCCTTTTCATGGCTTAATCACAGCCTGTTCTGCCAGGGCAATGTCGATATAGCCCAGGTGGCTTTTTAGCCCAGACAGGAGGCACTTCAGGCATGGTATGACATGCCACAGCCTCTTTTCTGGCGGGAGTGAGAGGGGTACTTCAACCATCAGGATGGTCATGTAAAAGGAGAGTTGCTTTTACCAAGGAGCTTCCTTACTAAGGAACTTCCTTCCTTTTCCTTCTGCAAACAGCAGCAGCAGGAGCTATGTGCAGAAGCTAATAACCTTATTGCTGTTTTCTTTCCAATTGTCTGGCTGATTAGTGTAAAGAAGTAAAAAACAGCATTATTTTCTCTATTCTGTCCTTGATGAACTTGACATCTTAATGTTCTCTACTTCTGCCTCAGACCCGAGCAAAGGTTTAAAGGCCCCAAAGCACGTCTGTCTTTTCTACTAAAGCAGCTGGGAAACCACCTTGCAGATTAGGAATATAGAGGCTGCCTTGTAGGGTGCTGTTTCATTGCCAGGAAGAATATAATTGCTCAGTGTTCCTCTGATGGCTCTGAAACAGGGATGGCACGTACCTCTCCAAGACGAGGCCAGGTACAACTAGCTGTGCTGCTCTAGGCTGTGTCTTACAGCCATCATCTTGGCTATAAGTGCAGCATTTGCAGGCAGTGGGAGGACTACGGCATGGAAGACATGCTGGGGGAAAGAGGCCGCAGTGCCAGTCATGCATTTTCTTTTCTAATTTGGGACTTAAACTGCACGTGGCACACGTGGGTGGGATTTGAGTGCATTTTAATGACACTACAAAAGGACTTCACTGTTCTTAGACAGCCCGGGGAAAGAGAAGGAAATAAGTCAAACTATTTAACTTCAACCTCCGGTGGGTGGTCCTTGAAATGAGATGAAGCATGCTGCTTCAGAGATGTTGTCCAGGGCTTGGAGGAGATGAAGAGGTGCTATAAAACAGGAAAAGATGTCTAAAAGTAACAGGGAGAACAAATTCACCAAACCAATTTGTATACCAGCTGCTGTTAAGACAGACAAGCACGGCTTGGTTATATTTTGCTCTCAGGTGGAGAGCACTCTGTGTTTTCCATTCACAATCACCACAGATGCTTATCTCAGAGGGGAATGCTTTGACTTGCTTCACACACTGCCCAGTTTGCCATGGCACACTATGCCTTACCAACACCAGACATATTAGCAAATGCTCCTTTGAACACTTTATCAAGAAACTGGGTTTTATCTCACTGAAATGTGAGGGGGCCTCATGCCAGAGCACCAGTCTCTAATGCATTAGAGTTGCTGTAACTTCCTTTAAAAGAGGAACCGGGCAGGGACTGAAGATGCTGAAATACGATGAAAGAACTGGTTCCTGGAGCTCTGCCATGCAGGGACACCCTCCTGGCACTCTGCGGCTGCCAGGTGGGTTGCATCCCATGATGGAAAATTTGCAGGTGGATTTGGATCCTTCTCTATAAAAGAACATGCCATTCTCTTTGCTTCAGGCTCCAGCTAGCTGTAGAGCGCATAATGAATTAGAGATAAGGACTGCAGCAAGTGAGTAATCCCCTTTCTCTTCCTGGGCTTTCATGCAGGCAGATCTGTAGGAATGCACAGAGGGTGCTGTTGAGCCCAGCAGTGGGAGCAATCCCTGGCATCCAGCCCCAAGTGCATTGCTTGGGAGGAACCTGGGGCACAACTAGACCTCCCATGTCCTTGTCTTACCAAGGGTAATACTTTCTGACACGTGTCCCCCTCCCTGTCCCCCACAGGTTTGGCCTGTCAAGGCAACTGGTCAAACAGCTGAGGCAAGATCTATTTGATGAACTGTTTGGATTTAGGAAAGTCTCCTTCCAACTTAAAAGTCAACTCTCCTGCTGAGTACACTTAAATTATCAAGAGCAATTTTAATGACTTCTGTTGCAGGCCCTGTGTGTCTGCCAGCCCTGTAAGCAGCAGAGATTCAAAGCTGCCATTTGAAACCCCTGACAACAGGGACTGTCAGCAGATGTGATCTGGATGAGCTATTTAGAGAAGCCTTCAAAGCCATGTGATTCACAGACTGATGGCATTAGCCAGCTTCTGCCTCTCACTACCCTTTGTTAGGATCCTGGAAGCAGACAACTCACCCTTTAAAATGTCTCCTGGCTCTTGCCTGCCAATCTCCATCTCTTGTCACCAGCATCCCAGGTAGCTGCAGAAAAAGGTACTGAAAGGTCTCAAGAGGAAGATACAAAACAGGACAAACACCAGGCTCTGTTTGACGCTAACATCCCAAGCAATAGCAGTGCTCCAGGAACAGATTTGCAGGTGATACCTGATATGAAAGCAGAATTTTCTCAGCAGGATGGCAGTTGCAGATCACAAGGAACCAACACCTCATTAATTTTCTCCTTAAAGCTGTTAATGATATTTAGTCCTCCTTTTATACCTTCCTTTTGAGGAGCTTGAAAGCATTTTGCACATGCTAATTGGTTAAGGATTGCAACTCTTTGTGAAAGAAAGCCAAAAAAAAAAAAAAAAGTATAGGCCTTTTCATTTTTCCTTGGGAGACTGAGGCACAAGGGCAATGGTTTTCCTACCTGACAGCAAGAGAACACAAAGCTGCAGGCAAATAAATCAGAAGCACTGAGATTCTCTCCCTGTGTCCCACATTGAGCCCATAGAAGTGGGAGAAAACAACGGGTCTTGTTTTCTCAGAGCAGGCTAGTGCAGGAAAGCAGGTAACACAGGAAAATCTGCAGCATCCCAGAGTTTGCAGTGTCAGCTTATTGGACTGGGGTATTCTGGCTCCCCTCTTCTGGCATAAAACTGGAAGCGGAGCTGAGTACAAATATTTTGTCTAGTGAAAGACAGACTGAAGATATGACAATGCTTAGAAAGCTGCTCTGCTGGAGAGCTGAGAGTAGGGAAGAGAAGATCCCCTTGGCTACTGGTCAGCTGGTGCCTCTCTAGAATTAGCACATACTTTATGCAAGCTTTGGTCTTATCACCACAAGCTCAGGATCTACAAACATGCCTCCATTTGGTAGGCTACAAACCCAGCATGTACAGGAGGAGAAAAAACAGGGAAGCCTCCTTGTCCTGCCCAGTTAATACAACAAATTCAGGTGTCCTGCTGCTGCTGCCAGCACCTTGTTAATCTGGAGAGGTTGCTCTATCAGTGCTTTTAACTGGCAGACTGCTGGGAGAAGGATCATGCTCTCCAGGATGACTATGCGCTGGCCTTCAGGTGAGGCTGGAGTATGTCCCTCAGACTCACATGCCTGCGCTTCCGCCTGGCTGCAAGAGAGACCTGTGGGTGGGAGGCAGACAGTGACTTTATACGGCTGCTCTAGAGGCTGCTCCTTCAGAGCTTCGCAGGCACAGGTAGTGATTCATAGGCCAGACAAACCATTAGCTCATCCTGCCTACATATAACAGGCCATGGGACTTCATGCTGCTCCCTTGTGTCAAGCCCAGGTGAGGGGATGCTCAAACACATCAGCTGTCAAACACAGTTCCCTCTGCTGCTCTCCGCTGAGCTCTGTTCTGTATTGACTGGGAAAAAAAAAAGGAATGCTCCTTTTGATTCTCAATTTCCTCACCTTCATAGTGACAGACAATGTATTTCCCACCTTCTCCGCAGCTGAACTCCACTCTTGAAAGATCCTTTGTCCAGAGACTCTGCTCAAATAGTCACCTTGAGACCTAGCATGAGTCCTGCTGTGGAGGACACAGCAGGATTTTGGTCACAGGATGAGGACTGGAAGATCCTTTCCTTTTTTTTTTTTTTAATGCTATCATCTAAAGAAAACCTTTATGCAATAAACGGCTAAGTGTACTCTGCTTTATTTGGGTGAGGAGAGGCACTGTTCCTCATACAAGGAAGGAGGCTGTTGTCCTCCTTGGCCACCTGGGCACACTGCTGGCTCATCTTCAGCCAGCTGTCGACCAGCACCTGCAGATGCTTTGCTGCCGTGCAGCTCTCCAGTCACTCTGCCCCAGGCCTGCAGCACTGCATAGGGTTGTTGCGACCAAAGTGCAGGACCCAGTGCTTGGCCTTGGTGAACCTCATACGTTGGCCTCAGCCCATTGATTCAGATCCCTCTGCAGAACTTTCCTACCCTCAAGCACATCAACTTTTCCTCCCAGCTTGGTGTCTTCTGCAAATTTGCTGAGGATGCACTCAATCCCCTCACCCAGATTGTCAAAAAAGATATTAAAGAGGACCAGCCCCAACACTGACCCCTGGGGAACATCACTCATGATGTTGCCAGCTGGATTTAACTCCATTCACCACCACTCTCTGGGCCCGGCTGTCCAGCCAGTTCTTCATCCAGTGAAGAGCCCATGGGCCTAAGCCTTGAGCTGCCAGCTTCTCTAGGAGAAGGCAGTGGGAAGAGGTGCCAAAGGCCTTACTTAGGTCTAAGTAGACCATGTTCACAGCCTTTCCCTCATCCACTAGGCAGGTCACCTGGTCATAGAAGGAGATCAGGTTGGTCAGGCAAGACCTGCCTTTCATGAACCCATGTTGGCCAGGCCTGATCCCCTGCTTATCACGCACACGCTGTGTGATTGTCCTCAAGATGATCTGCCCCATAACTTTCCCCAGTACCAAAGTGAGGCTGACAGGCATGTAGTTCCCCAGATCCTCCATCTGATCCTTCTTGTGGATAGGTGTCACACTGGCAAGTCTCCAGTCATCTGGGATCTTCTCTGTTGACCAGGAACTGCTGATAAGGATGGAGAGCATCTTGGTGAGTGCTTCGGCCAGCTCCTTCAGAACCCTCAGGTAGATTCCATCTGGCCCCACAGACTTGTGGGCATCCAAGTGGAGTAACAGATCACTGACTGTTTTCTCCTGAATTAGGGGAGTTTCTTCTGCTCTCTATAGATGCCTTCCAGCTCTTCCAGCTCAGGAGGTCAATTACCTTGCAGATAACTGATCTGGGTGTTAAAAACTGAGGAAAAGAAGGCATTAGTACCTCAGTCTTATCCTCGTCCTTGGTGAGGATGTTGCCTACCATATCCAATAAAGGATGGAGATTCTCCTTGACTCTCCTCTTCTTGTTAACGTATTTGTAGAAACATTTTTGTTGTCTTTTACAGCAGTGGACAGATTGAGTACCATCCGAGCTTTTGCCTTTCTAATATCCTCCCTAGGTACCCTAGTGACTTCCTTGTACTCTTCTTGAGTTGCCTGCCCCTTCCTCCAAAGATGCTAAACCTATTTTTTTGTTTGTTTTCCTGGAGTCTCAGCAATAGTTGCCTATTCAGGCAGGGTGGTCTTCTTCCCCTACAGCTCATCTTTTGGCACATGGGGACAACCTGCTCCTGTACCTTTAAGATTTCCTTCTTGAGAAAAGTCCAGCCTTGCTGGGCCCCTTTGCTCCTCAGGGCTGTCTCCCAAGGGACTCTCCCAACCAGTCAAAAGTCTGCCCTCCAGAAGTCCAACGCAGCTGTTTTGCTGACGCCCCTCCTGACTTCCCCGAGAATTGAAAACACTGTAATTCCATGGTCATCAGGCGCCGAGGGGGCCTGGGGCTGCCACTTGCTCCCTGTGCTTTCCTGTTTCACGGCTTTGGCCGTGTTTGTGTTGCTTGAGGCGAGGTCCCCGGGCACAGGCCTCTGCTCTGAAGCCCTTCCCTTGGAGATGTGAGTTGAGCAGGTGCTTGTAGGGGTTTAAATTGCCACCTTTCCTGCTGGTGCCACCCATACTGCCTCAAAGTTGCCTCTGTGAGGGCCTGCCCACTCGGGAAAGCTGGGCCTACCTCTTCCTCCCCATGCTTTACTGCTCTGCAGCTTTGGCTGCGGTTGTGCTCCTCCAAGCTTCAAGGTACCCCATCTCAGTTGTCTTTTCCGAAGCCTTGCCCTTTGAGACCTGAAAGATAACTGACTGGTAAGTTAAGTGCTAATGAAATGTTTATTTGAGGTAGCTTTTACCTGAATGCATTGCTGCAGCATTCTCTGATCCATTAGAGCTTTATCTGGAGTTCTTTATTCTTTTCCCAAAAACTCCTTAATTAAAGTTTTCCTAGAAAATTATCAAACTTCTTCTACCTTTATCCTATTGTGCATATAAGTGTATATAGTAATCCACAAAAACAGCACTGATACCTTGCTACTTCGGTTAGAAAAGCCTCTTTATCCTCTTTAAGAAAAATATTTTTCTTCCTTTTTCCTTAGACAGATTAATAGTGTCCTGGGTTTATCACAGCCTCCATGAATGTTGGACTATCCCCCATGCCTCCTATGTACTGTTCTTTGAGGATAAGTTCAGCATCCCTTCTGATATTTTAATAGCACTCCATGTCAAACAGTTGCTTTACATCTGCTACACATTCTGAACTTAGTGCCTTCCTCATTTTTTTCTCTAGTGCCACACAGTGGTGATTTGTTCTCTGTGACACTGCAATATTAGTTGGTATATCCAACATCGATACATGAGAGCTGGGTGTCCTGGGTTCAGTTGTGCCATCTTGCTTCAGGTGGGCAGGAGCCCAGCACCTGCCTGGATCTGCAAAGATGAGCTGCTTGATACCTCATCTAGATGCACCTTACTCTCCAGTGCCCTGGATTGAGCAGTTTGGCTCCCTGATGGGGTAGCTCACCATTAAACCAGCCTTTCTCTAGGATTTGTACACCTCCTTTTCCTTGAACCTCTGCAATTCTCTCCTGAAAGCAGGAAGCAGTGCTCAAAACACAGTCTCTTCTTGCAGTGGCTAGGTGCTCATTAAACTTTGCTAACAGCTGGTAGGTCCAAAACAGAAAGCAGCTGTTCTTCACTGATTATCTAGCTCAGCTGCAAAAGTCCTCGCCACAGGGTGAGAGTGTGTGCTTAAAGTTTACATTTATCCAAGAGAAAATTGGATAGGTTCCTGGAAGAAATATTTACAAAATATACAAAAACTAGCAGAAAATATCTGGCCTAGAAAAAACCCTGAGCCTCAGGCATTGGAGGCTAAGAGTCTACTCGTAAAAAAATGTCTTTTATGCTCCCCCTACTTTAGACCTGTCCTATGCATCCACTTTAAATCCAGCTGATGACCATATATTGGCTAGATGGGCTTTGGTGTGACCAAGCCAGTCTTAGGGTATGCCTTGGAGGCTTGCCTTGAGTTCCCAGGAGCTTATTAGGGGAGTCAAGGCCAAATCTCTTACAGGACCACCAAGCTGTATACCAGACTTGGTAGCAATGGGTCATTCTCCAATTCTGCTGGAGCTGATATAGAATCCACACTTTGATTTACCATTTCTTGGCTGTGCCTGTCACCTCCTGAGCTACAATATCACAGGGAAGGTGGCAACACTTTTTCCTGGCTCTGCTTTGTCACTGTGAAGTGACTGGCTCCTACAGCTGTGCTCTGAAAATGTGGAGCAGAGTCAATGAGGCAGTTGGAGGAATGCTCAGCTTATGTATTGCAAAGCTCCTAGCTGCTCATGGAGCAGTAATTGTAGATGTAGGCTCTGCAGGGATGTTTTAAGAATCTGTGTTTTGTGGTCTCATATCCTGCTTAAGTTCCTTGTTAATTTTTCAGTTCCAAATGGAGATGATATTCACCCACCTGTTTCCCTGGGATGTGGGCTGCATCAATAATCCTGATGAAATCTTCTGCATGCTTCACACAGAAGATTATCCACAGAGGTAAGAGCTAACATGTCATTAACCCTAAATAGGGAAAGGTGGTCTTGTGGTAAAGGTCTAGGAGACCTACTCCAACTCTGCTCTTTGGAATATCTGGCAAGCCACTTTGCTCTGCCACGCTCTTCTTCTGGAAAGAAACGATAATACAACTTGTCTTTTTTTATTTTTATTTTTATTTTTTTTTAAAAAAAAGGAAAAAAAAAGGTAAATACTGACTACAAAATGGCACAGAAACAAATCCATCCTGCTCTGTATGTCCTTTCAAAGTTCATTAGCATGTAAGTGTTTGTTCTGCAGCTCTGCATAATGGAAGGATTTTGTAACTTTCACTTACTTGAATATGAAAATGTTGAAGGCATGGGTGAGGTCAAAACAACTGGCCAGGAACGGTTAACTCTTCTGTCAAAGAGGGTATGCTTTGATCAGATTTGTAAGAGATGAAGCAACAGTCTTGTGTGGCAGAAACCAGGCAGAATTCTCCTTTCCTCCAGGGTCATGAAGCTTATTAGCCCTCAGTAGCTAGCAGGTGGCTGAATAATGTGGAGATGGAAATGAAAAGCAATTAAAATCACTTACATGGGAACATTATCTGCTGTCTTTTCAGACTGATATGTACCCCCTTTCTGTTCCCCATACGAGATCCTTCAGAGAAGGATACCACAGCAGCTACAGAGGGAATCCATAGTTGGGAATATAGTGTGTGTACAGGAGACATTTTCTCTATCTACTTCTAGTCAAACAGCAAAGATCCTAGACTGGGCCAGGAGGAGTTAAAAACACTTGCAGAGAGATTTTATTCTGTCAAGTGTAACAGTGGATATTTTCATTATTCATTTCCATGGCTTTTCCTGTTCTGAGTGCTGCTAAGTCTCTGTCCCTGGTAAGATCCCGTGGCAGTGAACTTCACAGGTTAATTATTCATTGTGTAAAAATAGACTCTCCTTTTATCAGTTTGAAATGCATTACCTTTCACTCTAATTGCATGTCCTCTGTTTCTGTATTATGGGAGAGCATATAAGAGGGAATGATTTACTTCCATTCTTTCATCTGTTATTTTGTATCTGTTTTTCACATCCCTTTTACTCATCTTCTCTCTGTATTAGCTGATCCAATCTCCTCATCTCTGCCCATTCAAGAGGCTCTAATCTTCTAATCTTTTTTTGCTTACACTTTGGATTTCTACTGTATCATTTTGGAGACAAAGTGGCCATAGGCAAACCCAGAGGGTGGGACTCGCCCTCACTTGTTGAGTTTCCTGTTAAGTGGTATTTAAAATGTTTTAGTAGATGCAACTTCTAGCTTTTTTTTTCCAGTTATCATGTGGTTAGAAAATCTATAGGGGGAAAGCAAGCCGAGATGCTCATGAAATAGCATGCCTTCATTAGGCCCCCTTTTCATATCCATTAAATAGTATAAGATTTATGAAAGAAAGATGAAAACTGATAACACAGGCTCCACTGGCTTGCCACAGAGTTTTGTCCAAGATTGATGAACACAGACACTCTTGTGTAATTTTAAGAGTTTGAACAAGTACTCTGATAATAGAGCTGCATAAAGAGAGAGGGTGATAACTAAAGATTTCTTGCCTCTCTGATCATTTGTTAACTCTATTATCCATTTAGGTGCAGAAACATTTGAAATCCCTTACTAGACTGACCACTGAATATGTTTTTGCATTTCTTTGAAGCAGCTTTTGATCATGAATAGCTGCTTACATCTTATTTTTGACTGCTTTGCTTTCAAATGGTGCCAGTCAGTGTAATGAGTGCGGATGGAGGCTTTTTGAAAGTCCAGATAAACCGTTTCACTTTTCCTTTATCTGCTGTTTTGCTCACATGCATAAAGCATCTTAGTAGATGTGTGAAGCTTGAATACTTTTGCAGAAGCAGCACTGATTTGTTCCTGTTATATCACTGCTGTCATCTAGATGTTTTATTCTTTGCATTTTAATGATCTTTTCAGCTAATTTGCCTAGTTCAGAGTAAGGCTCATTGGTCTGTAATTCCCAGGATCACCACTAATGCCATTTTTAAAGACAGATATAATTTTACTGCCCTCTAATCCTCCTTCAATACAGTAGCTTATTTTAGTGGGATATCATAAGCATTAGAAGACCCAGATAAACCATTGAGACTCTGTGCCTTCCTGATCTATGAATTCATTAGGTTGTTCCTGTGCCTATTCTCTCAGCTGCTCAGTCCTTTGCAGTTCCTTGTGTGTTTTACCTGGAAAGAATGGTCCTCATTCCGTTACTCACCTGCTCCCCAAGCAGGTACGAGGATGGATGTTGGGAAGGAGAGATCACCTTTTTTCCCTGCAGTATCTTTCCTTCTCCAAGTAGCCTCTTTCAGTCCCTTGCAATCTGGCAGAGCTGTCAACTCC